GTATGTATGTATGTTTGTTTGTTTGCTTGTATGCATGTTTGTATGTATGTATATATGTACAAGTGCGCATATGTACATATGTGTATGTATATATATGTAGGTAAAGAATTCTACAGATATCAACAAAAGAACGGTTTAGGTTCAGATGTCAGCTGCCAAGTTTCTGGTCCAGCTGTACGGGTTCTTCTCGGTGCCGGTGCCGTTCTTCGCCATGTTGCAGGGACCTCTGGAGTCTGGGTCTAGGATTCAGGGGGTTAGGCCTTTGGGGGTGTTGAGGATAGGGTCTTGTACATGGCGTTGGTAGTACTTTGTCGCGCTTCCTGAAGAGTTTTATACATCTTTATGAGGTTTTCAACCGATTTAAGCATGTTTGGAGTCTGGTAAGAATCCGAGCTTTCGAGGAACTTCCTAAAGGGCGGGCCAACGTACACGAACTCCACATGGCACGAACACGAAGGGATGAGGTCCTGAGTTTGAGAACGCATGGCCTCAGAGTTTGTAAATGCTACTGTCTAAGACATAAAAACCGAAATATCACTCACCTAACACCCAATCTACTATGTAATTCGTCTTGACTCATACTGAGATACTGTGACATAGTAAGATATGTGTTTTCACTTGGACCGCCACAACCCAAAGACCTAGCCCTAAACCCTAATCAACCTTAACAACCCTGAACCCCATCTAAACCCCATAGAACCTCCGTAGGTCCCTTGAACAAGACCCCAGAACAGCCTCAACGCCGTGGCTCTGAGAAAAGGCCGGGCGGCCGTTCTCTGCGAGCAGGGCAAGCTGGGAAGAGCACCCCGGGCCACCTGCAGAACAATTGTTGATAGGCCTTTTTTGGACTTATGAATAAACACAAATGTATGCTTTTACAGGTGTCTGAACCATATATATATATATATATGGACACACACACACACACACACCCCATGACCCACCTCGGTGTCTTTTCCATCGTAAACACTAATGTCTCTTGGGAGGGAATCGCAGGCACATGTACTCAACATGAAAATCACCCAAGTCGTGCAAACTCATGCCCTTAACCTTAAGTTGTATGTAACCAAAAAAGAAAAATAGAAAGATACCACACCACCCAAGTCCTGCACACTCATGTCTGCTTTAATCCTAGGATTATGTCTCTGAACAAGAGCAAGAACATTAAAGATACCATGCGACGACGGAGACCAAAAAGCACAAAGAACCCTTGTGGTGTCCTTGAAACTTGTGGATTTGCTGTTCTCCTGGTTATTGTTTGTCTCTGTTGGTTTCGCCTTAACGAACCCAAGGTTTTCATTTTCGATAGCAAACCAAAAACAAAAAAGCACTGTGAAATTTCAAATTCTGATGAAAAACAAAAACCCTTTGGGAATTTGGGATTTCTTGTGCAAGACCAAAAGAAAGGCTCGGCTGATGAGAAACCAAAAACACAAAAACATGCCTTAGGAAAACAAAGACTCCAAAAGTTCGCGAACTGCCCCGAAGGTTTTGGAGCGTTGGATTTTGGTGTTCTGATTTCCTGTTCAACGCTATCTATGTCGCAGCAAGCGAGGAACATATTGCAAGGGCACTGCAGGCTGCAGTAGCCACGGGAAGGTAAGCCGACATTGTGAACGGAAGAAGTTAGAAAGTAAGTAGCATTCAAAACAGCAACAGTAGCACCGTGGAAGCCTTTCAACCAGAATCGAGCATGAGGCTGAACCCTAAACCTTTAAAGGCAACTCTACAGCAGCTGAGCTCAGACTTGTCCATTAGACAATTCACGGCCGACGAGAATAAAACCACGGTCAGCGGCCCTCAAAAACTGTACTTCTTAGCTAACCTTCAAAATACTGCCTAACCATTGCGGCCCCCACTGCCCACACAGGACCTGTGATAGCGCCACTACTGTACCACCTATATTCTGGCTGTATGTTTTTGGCTCCTATGAGCAGTTTTCTACCGAGGATTCTGTAATCTTAGGTTTGGGGAGTGTGTAATCAAGCACTAGGAGGCTCCCTCGCTTCTTCGTGAACGAGCTCTGTGAAACCCGTGCAAGCATACGCGAGCTACTTCCCCAAATACGTCCTTTGGGGTGTTACACATGCTTGGGTTGAGGATTGATGAAAAGCTTCCCGCTGCGGCTCTTGGGGGGTATTTCTGGTGCAGCGTCGCCCGACCCCATGGTGTGGGGTGGTGTGGTGTGGTGGTGGGTTGTGGGTCTCCCCTGATGTGGTGGTTGGTTTGGGGTTATTTAACCCCGCCCTCTCCCCCCCTGTGGTGTGGTGTGGTGTAGTGGTGGGCTGTGGGTTTCAGGTTTAGTGTTTAACCGCCTCCCTCTGGTGCCCTGGTGGGTGTTGGGCTGTGGCGCTCACACTCGGACAATCCAGGCGAGATCAGGCGAGGTATATGGTTCGAGGTATGCAAAGAAGCGAAGCACATGTTTGCATGCGATGAACCGAAAGACACAGAGCCATAACGATGAGAACCTGTAAGGTGAGAGGTTCCGCATGTCTTCATCCAAATCCGCTCTGGTATGTCAACTAGTTAGCGGATTTCAACGGCTACGGCGAGGAGGCCAATATGGGTATAAGGTGACATTACTAGGGCCATAGCGAGAGTTATAGCTGGATTGGACAGCCGGCAGATGCATGGGTTTAGAGTTTGCACTCGCACCCCTCCCTGTGGTGTGTGGTGGGATTGCTTAGGGTGTAGGTGTACAGATATACAAGGGATTAGGTTTGAGGGTCAGCAGCTGGGCGCGGCACAGACCGAAACCATGGCCCATCCAGGTGAGCGTCGCCACTTTGGACACGCCACGAAGTTGCATAGCTTCAAAAGTCACAGCACTCCGAGGATCCCTGGTTCGGGGGGCCATCCCTGTGACTGTTGGCATACAAAAGTGACGACCCGCACGAGGTTTCGGGTGCATACCATGGGGTGGATACCATGGGGGGTGGGGGGGGTTACCGACATGCGACACGGAACCGTATAAATATATATATATATATATGTACACATACATACTGTATATGTACATACGTACCTTTCATATCATATATATACACATACATATAAGGCATTTGTGGTGTGTGTGTGTGTATATGTATATATTCATATACATACAGACATACATGCATACATACATGCATACATACATTACATTACATTACATTACATTACATTACATTACATTACATAACATAACATAACATAACATACACACATACATACATACATGCATACATACATACATACATACATACATACATACATACATACATACATACATACATACATGTGTGTGTGTGTGTGGGTGTGTGTGGGCGTGAGTGCGTGCTTTGGTCCCCTTGCACACATGAAATCCATATCGGTTGTTATATGCATCAATTAGCATGCAGGGGTTCCTGCCGAATTTCCACCATGTGTGCAATGCGCAACCATTATCGGAGACAATTGCCTGCTTCAAGCCGTTGATTCAGGCCGATGCCTTCATGAGGGTGTTTGAAGGCACTTGCTATGTAGCGGCTTGCGACAGACTCTAGTTGGAGACATTTCTTCTGTGAGAGACATGAGAAGTTCGAGGGTGGCAGGGGTATACAGAAAAAGCTCATTGCTTCTGACGCGTGTCCTTCACATAGCTGACATACCAGTAGCTCAGTGGAGTGGCATGGAAGAAAGGTGTGGGTACAGTAGTTAGGGAATTGGACAGTGGGCCTGAAAAACTCATCGTCAGTAAACTCATCGTCATCTTTGCTCAAGGTCCCATCGCCATTCGGATTCCAGGCCCCCCAAGTGCTGGCCCTGTGATCTCTCATGAAATGGACCGCTGGATTGCCCGTGATCGCGGACAGAGCCCAAGACATTTGGCCACCTGCAGCAAGCATAGCATATAAAAGCAACATGGAGGGTTGCATGAGCTATTGTTCATTTGTGCACTTGTGCTGCCCACCTTCGAGCTTGTTGTAGCCGCCGTACAGCTTTGCAAAGGCTTTCTCCATAAGAAGTGCCCACATCTCGTTGCTGTTTGCTTGTGCGAACCGTGGCTTGAGCGTGCCAGCATGGCAGGGAATCAACTCATCGATGACGACGACGACCCACTGTGTACCCTTCCGCGATTGCACCTTGGGCTGCGTCTCTCCCTATGAGGCCATCAACACCTAGGCAGCATATGACATGATGCGTGTAGGCGCAAACTGAATAGTAAGCCTCGTACTTGGTCCCTCAGTTGCAATGACTGACACATGCCGAGGGCCGACTCACTGCCATGGGAGGAAGAGTAGTGCAGCTGTGCTGCCAAAGGCGGATCTTGTACTTCCCCCGAGGGTCGAAGGATTGCGTCAAGAATGCTTGCTGTAGAATTTCCGGTCTTTCTGCCACGCAAGCCTGCACATGCAACAGTCCGCAAGTGGCGAGTATGTACCTCCCAGGTCCCAATTCAATCTAAGCCAGGAAGCTAGCGCGGCAATCCTTATTTCACGACAGTCCACGGCATGCTTACGAGTACGAATACCTCGCAATACCTTGTATTGCTTGTGGAATCAGGCCGGGTCGCAGCCAGCAGTCGCCCAAAGCGCCCTACAGGGATGTGGCACTTTTGGAACAGGCATGATGCGTTGCAGGTTGGAAACTGTTGCGCTGGGCCCTGGCAATCACTGAGATGTTTTCGGATGCACCATCGTATCATTTCCATGTGATATCGTAACCACCGATAGCAGACATCCGCAGTCGCCCTGGATGCACAAGAAGATAAATCCGATTCTTATGAATCTTCAGGGGTCATGTCAAAACACCGGAACGTACTGGCAGCTGTATGAAAGCGGCTGCGAAGTCATTCGGGTGAAGATATGTGCACCCCCCCCCCCTCGACCTGCAGCAGGTCGGCGGCATCGATGCTGCCCTCGAACAGCTCGGCACCACGCGCCTCGTGGCTATCCTTCTCAAAGTAAATCGGCATGTTTGGAGTAGGATCATTAGTCGTGTGGTGTGCCTGCTTTACAAACTTACGCAGGGCTTGTCCTATCCAAGGCCCAATCAGGCGTCTAGGTTGATGGGGTTGGGACAACTGCTGGCAGTCGGCAGCTGCAAAGTCATTTCGGCTTCAAAGTCACGAAAAAACGGAGGCCCGCCGGGTTTCTTGGGTTCAAGCTTACTTTAACATTGATGCCGCACACTCGCAAAACTGTCCTTGCCAGCGATCTCAGAGGCCTTGCGCCAGTCAGTTTGCCCCCCCTGGTGCAAGACACCCGCAGCCTGGGAATGCAGCAGTTGTCCCCAAAACAGCTTTCACTAGAAAACTCCAGGAACAGACTCAAAACCGTCAAAGGCCAGTCACCGTGTCACCTTGGAGCTGTCCAAGGCTTTGGTCGCTCGCGGGAAAGTCTGCATCCTTTCAATCCCACAGTTTACAGAGTTTACGGCTCGTGTCACGCCATACGGCACATGCCTCTCCACACATTTACGACATCTCGTCCTCAAAGTCATCCCAACAGCAGCCCTTTGTACAGGAAGGCATACACAGGAAGGAGACATAGCTGTGGCAGCACGCGCAACAGTAGATGCGGATAGCGTTGTATATCCTTAGCTGCCAGTTGCCGCGGCGGTGCTAGGAACTGATTGCTGCAATAGTCTGGAACGTTTGGGGATGCCTGAAGGGTGGGCATTGCTTCCAAGTGTCATAACACATGGGCAGCAGAAAATGCGGTAGAAGATGCATCCTCTCCCATCGCAAACCTGCCGGGTTAAAATTGCGGGCTTGAGACATGGAGTTGTGCTTTAAAGAAGTGGACCCTTTGGTCCAGGCACCTCCGGCCAGCATAGCACGTACGGCTGCAACCACTTCGCACCAGAGAAATACGCACAAGCAGCAATGATGCCATAAAGCACACCGAGGGCCAGGAAGGCCTGAAGCCAAGTACGTGCGAAGTGTATTCAGGACTCAGTTCGGGTCTTGTGCATGAAAACCTGTTGAGGATCTGGCGGTACCAAAACGGAAGAGAATCATGAAGTTCGACATGCCAATGCTCAAGAAGGAAGAGCTCTGCACATCAGAGATGCTCATAGCAGAGATGGAGATGTGAGGTGTGAAAAGCCCCGCAAAACTCGAGCGACGCGCGGATTCCTGCAGGGTAGCAACAGCTGCAGCTTCTGGCTCCACATGTTCACCTGGATTCGTTCCAGCAGATGTCCTGAAGTCCCTTTGCAAGGCTCTGTTGGGCAGCAGCTGTGTCGGGGACATTGCCGGTCCCACTCACGAGGAATTCAACTCCAGCTTGTACCGGGAACCACGTGGAACTCTTCGGAGTAAAACCTCACGAAGTCTCTCGTTCACAGGCACAGAAAACATCAGGAGTGAGCTGGCCTTCTAGGTCATTGCTCGCCGTGAAGGCAGATCTCATCCAGTCACCCCACTGTGACCACTTCTGCTGATCCAAGCCTGTGGCGGAAAAGTTGTCAACCACACGAATGACGGATTCGCTGCTCGGAGGCTGCAGCGCTGTTCGTGACACAAGAAGCGCGGGAAACGCAACAGCACCCGGCGCCTTGCACTGTGAAGGCCAGCATAACCAGCTTCGAACTTCGATCCACGGGCAGTGCACACCTGTACAAGTCCTGCACTGTACCGTGTCGAGATTGACGCGATATTGGAAGCACTTGTAGTGCAAGCGGCAAATGCACTCCCAGCAGCAAGCAAGAGAAGACTCCACAACAACTTGAATAGCTCCTCACGCAGGGCCACCTTGAGAGCATCGTCGTTGAGGGCCCCAACTGCTGCGTGGATGCGACTGCGGCACGGCCAATTGTTGGCCTTGCGTAATGCAGCTGGCCAGGGGGCCGGCCAAGAGGGCAGGGTGAGGGGTATAGTCCCGGAGCGCCAAAACGCAGTTTATGTAAGCACAGAGTGCCAGAATGGTTGCTCGATTCTGCTAGCCTTATTAAACTGATGCTATAGCATTGCTTACGGCCACCAAGTTGCCAGAATCTGCAGGACCTTGAACCTGATTTTGGGGCTGAGCCTGACCCTCACCCTCTACCTCTGCTGCATCGAGGCACTCCGCACAGCTTCGGCGCATTCAGCGAAATTGAGCCATCAAGAGATATCACTTCAGCATCAGGCGAAGACAATCCACATGCCTGCATCACCTGCAGATGGCCCGGCCAGTGCATGCGTGACTGGTGCATGACTACTGCACTTTGTGTTCTGGTGCTGGTGCATCGGTTGCCTGCGCTGACCACTGTGGCTTCGCACTCGCTGGCAGGAACAACAAAGGCGAAGCCAGGAACCATATCCGTGCCATTGCGCTGATGAACATCTTGGCACTACTACTGCATACACGAAATTCCGTGCACGGCGTTTTGCAAATCAATATCGTCAAATGCCCATGAGGGAAACTTTGGATCACTCAGATATGACCGGTGAGGTGCTTCGTCCATGAAAGCACCAAGCGAGAAGGCGAGCGCGAGCAGGCGAGCTGCAGACTTTTTGTTCAGTGCCTGTCCCTCCAACCCGAGCTTAGGTCAGGACCGAGCTGCTGGCTTTTCTTGTCCTATCGGTTCAGCTTTTCGGGTCAGGTTGGCCAAGCCCCCTCCTTGATGGCGCCTGGTCGGGTTGCAGTTTCTTCCCTTCGACAGACCACTACGTCGGAATCTTGGTGCACGGCGCGAACTCAAGGCGGAGTCTCTGCAACTCTTCCTTCACAGCCTGAGGAGTCGTCAAACATGTCACGTTTTCACCACAGGACGAGCCTGGCATCCTAAAGGGTTCCGCCTGGTAGGTCATGTCGTGCTTTGCTCGAGCCTGCCAGGAGGGCTCTCAAGTCGCCAACTCTCACCCTGCACCTTTCAAACAAAGGAACCGCGAAGCCTTCAGGTCGAGCAGCTTCTGTCGCAGCTTCTCGACGTCCTCTGGATGACGTGCCTAAGTCCGCATCGTGTCCCAGAAGTTTTACCACTAGCGACGGCACAGACGGCTATCTGCTGCGACTACGATCTGATGGTTTAAAGCTCGCGAAGTGCTCGTCATATCCTCAAGTTGCCCAGAGCTGCCTGCTTCCGTTCAGCAAAGCTTCTGTCACAGACCGGACAAAGCCCTGAGCAAAGTCCGTGCAGTTCAGCATGACCTGCGATTTTATGTGCTGCGCCATTTGCCAGTTGCAGCCAATCGATACCCTTGCTTCGCTCTTTTTTTGCATGTACGCAACGCGCGATCACAAATCCACTGGAATGACGATGTTGCTCAAGGACCCCTCAGCTGGCCCTGCTTCAGATCCTGCAGCTTGTGACTCCTGGCTGCAGGTTCGGAGCCCACTCTACGAGACATGCAGCAAGCAACACAGCAAAATCATAGTACGGCAATCCCTCCTGAGTAACCTAATCAGTCCAAGAGTCAGTGCTGTAACCTTCTCGTTCTTATCATTGTGCACCTTGTGGAACTCTTGCTGGAGCCGGTCCACTTCCTGTTGTGCCTTCTCCTCCTTCTGCACGTTCATCTGCACAGGGTCTTCCCAGTGCTTGGTAATAAGAGACGCCGGCGAAGCAACTGTTATACGCATGAGTTGCAGACAAGTCACTTCGTACATCCTGGTTTCATAAGCCAGCTGCTCCCTTAGCGTCTGTCTTGCAATCTGCGCACTGTTAGTCTGCAGAACACATTGCATCCAATTCCGTGAAGAATCTGTGCTTGCTTCTTCTCCATAGTCTGAAGCCGTAGAGAGGCCTGAACATACGGGACTTCACTTCAATGATTCAAGACTTCAGGGAAGCGATGCAGGCAACAACCGGCCTCCTCCAGTTTTGCCTGCTCTTGTCTGAGCTGACTGTCGAGCTGCGTGGCCTTGCGAGTCCTGAGCGGGGCTGCTAATTCGAAGGGCTATAATACGGCTGATTCGCTCACAACGAATCCAGCTAGCCGGAGGCTCTGCTGTCGCTGGCTTTCTTTCATTGCTTCGATTGCCCGCTGCCTGGGATTGCGTGCGACAGACACGATACGGAGTGCAGTCGCTCAATGTCTTTTGCTTCTGAGCAAAAGGGGCCCAGTTGCTCAAACATCCACTGACCGCAGCTAACCATTGGCTCTTAGAGTTGCTTGCCCGAGATGCATGTTGGACTGCTTGGTCTGGTCTTCCTGGAGGCGCTCTGTAACATCCGCTTTCATGTGGTCGATCACCTTCCTCGCATTCCAGACTCGTAGAACGACTGCTGTGTGTGTCGTGTGTGTGTGTGTGTGTCTGTGTCTGTGTCCGTGTAGGTGTCCGTGTCCGTGTCCGTGTCCGTGTCCGTGTCTCTGTGTGTATGTGTGTGTGTGTGTGTGTGTGTCTGTGTCTGTGTCCGTGTCTGTGTCCGTGTCTGTGTCTGTGTCTCTGTGTGT